TGGGACCAATCGGTCAATAACCGGGTATGCTTGTTGACATGCTTTTCAGTCCAGCCGTCTGATTCCTTTAAGTAACTTTCTTCCTCTAATAGTGACCAACCTTTTTTTTTGGGAGGTGAAATCTTCTAAAAGACCGTCTGGGATCGGGTGTCAGCTATTTACCCTGGTGTGTATGATTCAATCTCTCACGCTTCACCGCGTGACGAAACCGCCTACCGACTAAAACACCTCCTCATTCTCCGGCCGACGGGCCCGACTGGTCTCAGCGAGCATATCTGGCCTGTTAGCCTTACTCTTAACTTCCCTCCGGCACTCTTCGCGTGCATTACATGGATTTGATGGCCTCCCAGCCTCCCTCACCGGCATAAGGGCCAAGCGAGACTGGCCGGTGAAGCTACCGTCCTGCTCAATCCTTATGCCAGCGAGACAGCCTGGTTGCCCCCCTTTAACATTGAAAGTAACAAGTAGAACCAGTTGGCAATTAATAGTAACAAAATTCATTCGTATTTCCATCAATTCAGTCCCGCATTCGTACCCTAATTCACTAATTTTTAGGGCATCGGGACATTCGACGGGATTGGATGTAAAAAGTCTTTTCCCGTCCCATGTCCCGCGGCCCCTACAATGAAATAAAATAAATTAATTAATTAATAAAAATAGATAAAAATTAAGTTTAAAGTAATATAGATAAAATAAAAATAAAAACATCTAAAATTGGTATAGACAAAATATAGTAAAAATGAAAGTAACTTGAATAAATAAAATAAAAATAAATAACACACATTTTTTGAAAACAACAAATAAATATAGCGGTCATCCCACCTGCAGCTACTTCTCTTTCTCTTTCTTGTGCTTTACGGTTTTTGTAACAAAAGCAATGATCAGTTCAAAATCGTGCTCGCTGTCGATGGCTCGCAGGCTCAGCTGTAGTTCATTTCGCCCCGTGTGATATGCAGGGGAGTCGAACACAACATGCCGTGCATCATCCACCCCTCCACACTCAGGATATAGATCGTCTCCGGACGTCCCGATTCTATGGGTGTATTTCCGAAATGATCCATGTCCCGCCAGAAACTGCGTGAAGTAGTAGTTTACGCGCCGATGCCGACACCCATACGACCTCACTACATCTGGGACCAGGGACCTCGTCCAGGTGGCCTTCTCGACTTCGGCTGCTCAATCCCTCTGCCACATCTCCAAGCTTCTGGCTCTTTCTTGTGGCCCTGAACCAACCGCCCCGTTGCCCCTCTGATACGTTTATGATACACTCAAGGCAATGGTAGATACAGTTCTGTACGCGCTGCACACCCTGATCAGAGGTTTCCTTTGAGCCCTAAAGAGCATGTTCTTATATTTCTTCATCTGGAGGACCTCTTGCCACACGGTGGCCCCGTATAATATGATCGATAACATTGATTGTAACGTAACTGATCTCTTCTGAGATCCAGGCCCCCTATATTTGGCATTAATTTGTTCAATGCCGAGGTCCTCCTTTCCGCCCTTCGACATGCTTCTTGTATGTGCTGCCCAAAGGTGACTTGGTGGTCGAAAGTAATATCGAGATACTTGACTGTCCTTTGGGGTTTTATTTCGGAGCGATGATATTTGGAAACAAAGTCATCCCTTTTCCTTGGTCCTCTCAGATATATTATCTCTCTCTTGTCTATTGCTAATTTTAAGTCGTTCTTCTCGATTCAGGCCGCGGTCGTGTCTATTGCTTTATTTACATTTTCTGTTATGCCCCAATTTATATCATCCTCAACCAATAGGGCTAGATCGTCTGCGTATGCTAGTGAATTTTTAGTACCCCATTGTATAACATGTTTTAGAGTAAGGGTCAGAGGACTGACCCCTGGGGTACTACCGCGATCATTTGTTGCTTTTTCTTCTTGGATAGGCATACGGATCGTTCAGAAAAGTAGTCCTTTATTATATTGGACATATATTCCGGAGTCGCGCTTTTGACTACTCGGTCTACTATGCGGCCTCAGTTTGCTGAATTAAAAGCATTATTTATGTCCAACAGAACAAAAACTACCCATTTTTTCTTGCTTGATTTGACCGCGTTCCTTATCTAGGTCGATTGTCGATCTACCTTTCCTAAATCCGTACTGTTGGTTGGATAAGACTCTCTCATCTTCCAACATACCTTCCAGCCTCTTCTTGATAGGTCTCTCGTAGAATTTACCAAGGCAGTCCAGAAGTTGGACTGCCTTGGCCATATCGGCCATATTGGCCGATAAGAGGTCATGAATCAGGGGATTTCCCGGGCTTTAAGAGTAAAACCAAGTTCGCCTTCTTCCTGGGAAACTCTTGTTTCTGCAGTAGATCATTAAATATTCTTCAAACCTGGTTTTTTCAGTTGCTATAATCTTTATTGATAGCACTTAAAAAATTAAAAATTCCACATAAACTCAGAAAATTAATAGAAATGACAATGAGAACTACAAAAATAGGCATAAAGACACAAAGAGGAGAGACAGAGGAATTCGGTATAAATAAAGGAATCAAACAAGGAGATGCCTTATCAACAACGCTATTTAATCTAGCATTAGAATATGTACAACGAAATATAATTAAAGGAAATCTCAAAACAACAAGTGGTCAAATAATTGCATATGTAGACGATATTGCTATTATTGCAAAGAACAGAAAAATAATGAAAAAAATGCTAGAAGAAATAAGAGAGAAGGGGGAGGAGGTAATGGGGCTAAGATTAAATCAAGAAAAGACAAAAATATTAAGATTAGGGGAAAAACCAATGAAAGAAAAAATCAAAATAGGAAGTTCTGAGTTTGACGAAGTAGAATACTTTAAATATCTAGGAGTTACAATAAGTAAATCCGGAGAAAGGAAATCCGGAATAAAAGAAAAAATATTAGCAGCGAATAAAGCTTATTTTGCAAACAAAAGATTGCTTAAAAGCAAAACACTGACTAAAAAAAGTAAGATGACCATTTATAACACCATAATTATACCAATATTATGATATGCAGCAGAAACAATGACGATGGTTAAAAAAGATGAAGAAGACTTAAGAATAGCAGAGAGAAAGATTATGAGAACCATACTAGGACCAATTAGAACAGAGCAAAATGAATAATGGTTAGGTCACGTTTGGCGAACAGGCGATGAGACAGTGACATACGCAATCATAGAATGGAATCCAGGAGGAAGAAAAAAAAGAGGAAGACCGAGATCAAATTGGTAGCACGAAGTTGAAGAAGACCTCCAAAGACCTCCAAAGGAGTCAGAGAATGGAGAGGAAGAACTAGAGACAGGAAAAAATGGTGAAATAATTGTCAAGAAGATAAGATAAACAAAAAAGACTGATCCACTTAAAAAATAGGATCTAAAAAGCATTTGCGGTTTAACCCCACACTGGGGTGTATAGCAATTATATATATATATATATATATATATATATATATATATATATATATATATATATTATATCTTCATTGCCTCTGGTGGCAGTCGGAAGCTTTCCTTGTCTTCGTATCCTGACCAGCGGTTTTCACCTCCTCTTCTGTGAACTTCTCTATCATGGTCTATATGGGGCCATTAGATTTAAGGTCTGCCACTTTTCTTTTTTCTCTTTTTTTATTGTAATATTTAATATTTTCTTCAAATCCTTGTATGTTTCTTTAAGCACGAGGTTGCCCTGGCTTCTCGTATAATTCCTTCGAGCTCTGAGGCATCTCTCCCGTAGATCTTCTATCTTCTGTCCACCAATGGAGTGATTTTTTTCCATTTTTCTTCTTTTTGGTAGCCAATTTTGCCGCATTTTGTAGAGCTGTTCAAAGTTGGCCAAGGTCAGAAATTTCGTCTTTACTTAATTCTTTTAGCCTCCGATAGGTACTTGTTTTTGTTGAAATATGATTTTCCCGTACGTATCGACCGCTTTATCCCCCTTAACCTTTACCTCAAATTGTATATATCGGTGGTAGATGAAGAGCTGATCGTCGAGTACATCCCACCCGTAAACCTTCCTGGATAGCCCTTCGCTCGAGAATGTGATGTCAATGTGTGATTAGCTGGCTCCCTGTACGAAGGTTGACTTATTATTGATATATAATAAATCCCATTGTCTGCACTTCGAATTTATGTCCCCGGCGATCAGTATTTTTTTTTTTTTTCGTTTATAGCAGCACCCATTATTTTATAACGATTGTCTCGTATCTCATCATAGGGATGTTTGGAAATACATAGCTTACCAGGAGGCTGAAATCCCTCAACCTAATGACTAAATGATTTCCTTCCCTGACAATGCTCTGCACTCAGACATCAATATTTTTAATGAGCACCGCTACATTTTTTCCCTCATCGTATATCGACCCACCGCCTGTCGTTATCTTTTTGTTAGGTTCATGTACGATGAGCAGATCTATATTTAGCTTGCAGACTTTTGCGTAGATGATGTCGTGCGCTCGGCGCGCCCTGCCTATGTTCACCTGCAATATCCTTATACCAAGTTGATCTTTGGGGTTCATTATGGTTCAGTTCCCTGGGGTCGCTTCCGCAGTAGATTCGCGTCTTATATTAAAATTAAAATTGGTATAGACTAGGATAAAAAAAAATAAATAAGTATAGATACAATCAGTGTATAAATAAAAGGTTTATAAATAAAATAAGATAGATAAAATATATAATTAAAATAAGAAATGTGTGTAAATATAAAATTTTTAAATAAATAAAGAATATAAATATGTAAATATAATAGATAGCTTTTAATAAATAAGGTGGGTATAACGTTGTAATACTTGGATGCCTTTAACCATGAAACTCTAAGAGAGATGGCGCTTCATGTCCCGCAATTGAGCTGTATAGGGGCCTACTCGCGTTCTCCAGGGAGCCACCTTTTTTTCGCTTTCCTTGTTACATTTACCCACCCTTTGGGGGTTCCCTGTCCCACCCCTGCAAAAACCACCCTCTATAGGCTGGGCACTGCATCCTATTCATTCTATGGCCTTCCTCATTACAGGTGAGGCAGTATGAAGTGCTATTGCACTGCACCGCTGTGTGTCCTGATTTTAAGCAGTTGTAGCAGCACGCTGCCCGTTTCTGAATAGTTCGACCCATGTGAGCCCGAACCACTTCCGCAAATTCTGGAGCCACGAGTGTCTTCTCCTGTTTGGCCCTCGCTTACTGTCTATTTTTCCCTGGACAATCAATTGCAGCAGACGCTACTTATCGTGTCTCAATATGTGGCCTAGATATTTAAGCTTTCTTTGTTTAATTGTATTCACGATTTCTTTCTCCTTTCCGATTCTTTGGGGTACCTCTATGCTGGTGACATGTTCGTCCAGGATATACGAAGAATGCGTCGGCATACCCACAATTCGAATGCTTCTAGTTTTCTCGTTAGCGTCTCCGTCAGAGTCCGGGTCTCCACAGCATACAGTAAGATCGGAAAAACGTAGCCTTTAACTAGACGTAGTTTTAGGGGAAGAGACAAATCCTTACTTATGAGGAGCTTTTTCATATCATTAAATGCTGCTCTATCTCGTTCTATTCTCGCTTTAATTTCTATGGCCTGTTCCCATTTTGCATTTACGTTGATGCCAAGGTACACATAAGATTCTACATGGTCAATTAGTATGTTACTTATCCGTAATTGTCGAGTAAGTTGTTGCTTTTTGCTTATCAGCATCCACTTTGTCTTCTTGAAGTTGAGGCTCAGGCCGTATTCCTCACTAACTGAATAAACTCTTTCTATTACTTGTTGTAATTCGTCTATGGTACTGGCAAGGATCACCCTGTCGTCTGCATATCTTATATTGTTCGTTAACTCGCCGTTTGCTTGTATGCCCTCATTTGATTTGCATTTTCCATACATTTGTTAAATATTTCCTCGGAATACATATTGAATAGGAGTGGGGATAATATACACCTCTGACGGACACCTCTTTTGATCTGCACACTTTCAGTGAATTCGTTGCCAATTTTTGCTCCTGCTGTTTCACGCCAGTAGAGGTTTGCCACAATTCGAATGTCCTTGTCGTCAATACCTGTCTTTCGCAGAATATCTATCTATTGTTCATAATTGACATTGTCAAATGCTTTTCTAAAATCTACAAAGCACAAATACACGTCCTTATCAACGTCCCTACACCGCTGTAGAAGCACCTGAAGAGCGAAAATTGCATCTCTAACTCCAAGTGCTTTCCGAAAACCAAACTACGATCTATCAATATTTGTCTTACATTTATCATATATTGTTTTATGAATGATCTTAGTGAACGCCTTAGTGACATGATTGATCAAGCTTATAAGCCGGTAGTCATTACAGATCTGGGCATTTGGTTTCTTCTGGATTGTAATAAATGTTGACTGCAGCCAGATCTCCGGGATTTTACCGCTATTATATATGTTGTTAAAAAGTACAACTAGATTATCAAGGAACTGTTTATCTGATTTACATAGGATCTTTAATATTTCGCAGGGTACATTGTCCGGACCTGCTGACTTATTGTTTTTGCTGTGTAGTGCTGCAATGGCATCTTCTATCTTCGATTTAAGGATTGAAGGTCCTGTTTCTCCTTCTCCATATAGGTGATCATCAGTCCTGTCAGATGCAAATAAATTTTCCATGTATGATTTCCATTTTTCTAAGATCGTTGATGACTCCGAGATAAGATTTCCATCGCTATCTTTTATGCTGTTGAGTGACTTATTAAATTTCCTCTTGTTTGTCATTGATTTTATTTTTTTTGTGCATATTGTACCTGTCGTATTTTTGTTCATATTGTTCTATTTCCCTGCATTCGTTGGAAAACCATTTTTCTTTGGCTTCTCGAATTTTCGTTATTATGATTTTGTGGATATGCTGGTATTTTTTTGCGTTTTTATTCTTGAATTTACGTCTTTCATCCATCATATTCATTATCTTATCAGACATCCATTCTTTCTTCTTCCATCCGTCACGCTTTAATAGAGTCGCGCATGTTGTTTGGATTGCTTCCCTCGATTTATCCTATCTCTCTATTATGTCCGACGTGTTCTCGTTAATGTCATTTATTTTCTTTCTTAGTTGTTGTCGTACTTTTATTTCGATTTATGGGTTAGTGCGTTTCTTAATATTGATTGTGGTACCTTTCTCTTCATGTTTCTCTTCTTCCTCTGTCATATCCACTACGTCGGTGATTTCTATTAATGATTCCTCATCCCTTGAATTTTCTTCTTTCCCTTTGTCTTTTTGGTTCATTTCTCTTAAAATGTCCTCTCCCACCAACGTTGAATGTTTTGGAGGAAGTGACTTGTTCATCTTCGGCTGACTCTTATGCCAGTTCAGCATCTCTTCTTTGAATTTCTTTTGTTCTTCCGCTTCGCTCAATCTGCCGTATTCCGGCTCTTCTACCTTATTCTCGTTTTCATTTATCTTCATTTTTTCCTTGTTCGTTTGCTTATGTTGGTCATCGTTGTTTCCGTCCTTCTTTTTGTGTGTAAAGTCCATGCAGTTCCCAGGAGTGGGAACGTGCTATATGTCCGGTAGTGCGCCCTTACCGCGCTAAGGCCACGTTACTTGGGGAGGTCGCCAGGTATCCTGAAAGGATTATTTGTGATGTTTTAACCCTCCCATCTCTCATATCTTTGGCTCGATGCTTTCACTGTAATAGTGGGGATTTTTTTATTGAGGTTTACTCCTCTAGGCTTTATTTTGTCACGGTTTGCCTCCGAACGCAGCGGCAGTTTGTATGAGCTGCCTCTCCTGTTACGTGGGAATTGGAACAGGACGTATGACGAAGAAGGTGACAGGTGGAGTAAACATGTCAACTACTCTTATGAGATTTGTTGGGGTGTTAAGAGAAATTTTTTTTTTGGGTGAACGAGATAAGAAATTGGGATTGAGTAGCCGTAGGAAAGTTGGTAGGTAGCTGTGTTGTTGAAGGTAGAAGGTGTCTCAAGTGCTCGCCTCGGTTGCGGGGCCTTTTTAGCGTCCAGCGGCGGTGTCCGACGTTAACCCGGTGCACAGTCTCTGGACGCTGGGACTGTTCTTGTTTTAACCGGTCGTGCTCCCCCCACATATTTAGGGACCACGACCCATTCCTCGGATCTCCCACCGTCGTCGAGGTAAAAATACAGTCCCAGGGAAAGCATAGTGACCAACCTGGAGCCCCAGTAAACGTATTGCATTAAAATAGCCTTTAGTAATAATTAATTTTTGTCCTATATTTGTAAAAAAATTAATATATTTTTTTCCTTTTTAAAATAGGATGAGGAGGACACTCTAGAACTACAACAGTTATATTATAGTATACAATTGTCATATGCACAATTATAATGTGATATTACGTCATTATTTTTATTTAAATAGAAATATATTAAATTTAGCAGGACTGAAAATTTAAATCAGTCTTTCGAAATCAGATGTCGAATTGGATAGGCACGAAGCATATTTCAAAAATGAATGCCCTTTTTATCCAATAGCTTATTAAATTTGGAAATCTGTCAAACGTTTATAAGATGCTATGTATAGTCTGTAATTTGGTATGGATGTGAAATTTGAACTTTGAACGTCGATACCACAGATAAAATCGAGGCATTTTAAATGGTTGTATACAAGAATTATTAAGATAGCATGGACCTGCAGAACCAGAAACAACGAAGTTCTTTAAGGAATAGGACGTCAAATAACTCTATAAAATATCTTTAAGAAAATAAATATATAGGACAAAAGAAACTTTTTCTGTGGTTGAAAAATTTACGACAGTGCACAGGTTTAACACCAGACCAATTGCTACATTTAGCATAAGACCGAGATCAATATAGAAATATTATAAGCAAGGAGGTTCCTAGGAGCAGGACACCCTAAAAAAAGATATGCTTATGTATTTTTAAATTTGCTCCTAAATTTACGAAGTTGAAATCCAAAGTTTTTTGTTACCTTTAGTTTAATCTGTCAATGTATGACTGCAATATAATTATATTGTTGCATTTTTATTGGCACTCCGGTGTTATTTACATACGTTGCTGCATTCTGATTTTATAGAGCTAATATGAAGGTCCCTGTTGTTTACAAACTGTTCCTGAAATATAGCATTCAAATTTTTCTCGAATTGAATTTGGTTAATTATTTCTACGATATTTTGAATTGTATATTCATAAGCATATTAAGTTTTCTAAAAACCAGATGTATTCTATCTCTTTGAAAGTAAACTAAATAATATAATATAAATTATGCTCCCACTTTTATGTTTTTGAATGTTTTTACACAGCAATAACATATTAATAAAATATAGATTTAAATTTATATAAGTTAGATCACGAAACACTTTTTGTACTTTTTAAAAAATAATTTTATTTCAAAAATACAATGATCAAAGTAAAGTGCAACAATTAATATTACTGAACAAAAATAAAGAGCGACCAATTGTTTTATAAGATTAGTAACTGCTGACTCAGTGGGAACATATAAAAACCTCGGATCTCGCTGACTCTGCTGGTTTTGTGTGTGCAGGGATCCTTATCGGCTCTGGTAGTTAGAAGTGGTATCCTGGAAATCATCGTTGTAAGTAACATTGGTTGGTACAATGGATATACCAGCTCTCCCTTTTAGATGAAAGTTGATGCGTGGCAGCAACTTTCAGCCTGTCTGTTGGTTGGTATTTAGTTGAATCTGCTCTTCTTCGTCTATGGAGTCGCTTAGGTCGATACTGGGTCTTTGTCTTGGAAAGATCTTAGCCCAATTTCTGGTAAATGCTGTCTCTGGGTGTCTTGGTGGAGAGGGTGGACTGTCATTGGTATTGCCAACTCCTGGTTTGTTGACAGATGGTTTATTTATTAGTTTGTCGAATTATTCAGAATCCTGATTGATTTTGTGATGGGGTATCTCGAGGTCTTCAGTATTTATCTTCCTAAACTTCAATTTTTGTTAGAACAAGTAATTTCGTTCTTGGAGAAGAAACATTTGTTAACATCTGTTTTATTAAAAAATGATTATCCTTTATCGTTTATAAATAAGGAATTTTCAAGAGATCCTACAGCATACACAAGGAATAATATGAGGAAAATAACAATACCGTACATAAAAGGACTATCAGAAAAACTTAAAAGGATAGGAAATAAATTCAACATTTCAACAACATTCAAAACAACAAACACGTTGAGATCTATTTTGTCCAAAACCAAACCTAACAATGAACAAGAAAGAACAAAGAATTGCATTTATAAAATACCTTGTGAATGCGATCAGTTTTATTTAGGTGAATCATCAAGGCCATTAAATGTTAGAATAAGTGAACATCAATCTTATATTAAAAATAGAGAATTTGATAGATCTCAAATCTGTAAACACGCATGGGATAATGAACATAGGGTTCAATGGAATAATTCAAATGTAGTCCTAAAAGAAACGGATGGTAAAAAAGAAAAATCAAAGAAGCGGCTCTAATTATGCTAAATGAGGCCAATTGTGTCGCAAATTCCTCGGCAGAATGTAGTAGGATCTGGTTACCAATATTGAAAGAGGAAGTTATTAATAAGAAAATACCAGTATTAGTAAGTCAGTAACATATAGAGGATACATCATTTATGTTTTTTAAATAACGTAACATATAAAATCAGAATTTTGATGTTTGTTGAAGGTAAACTAAATTCACGAACAAATACTTACAATGTCGGGATAGTATTATGAGGTTTTTTTCCTGGTTTTTCCCTCATAATTTACTATGGAATCACTAACAGGAGAATTTTACTGTCATCATGTCATGTGTTTGTCTTTTTAAAGACGAATTACATGCTATGATTTTTTCTGACGGATATTCTCAAGTTAAAGTTGATTTCATGTAATCGAATGAACTATCTTATAAGTAAAGTCGTCCCAGGAGCGCAACTCAACAATATTGGCAATATCATTTTAAAGTCGTCTACTTTAAAATGCATAATGTATGTCTGAATTGTCAATATAAATGAGTCAGATAAAATTAAATGATTAGAAGAATTTTTCACTATGTAACAAAAAACAAAATTTGTTTAATTTACTGTTTGTATTTTGAGAACGATTTCCGAAGTGGAAATTGAAACGTCAATAAACGTATTTTTATCTTTAATTGTGGCTTATTCCCAGTTTAATAGTAATTAACCATTTAATGTTTACACTAGGTTTCCAAATTTCCTTATTAAATAATAGTCAATGGAGGTTTTAGATTTTATGTCTATTTTGAATGAGGAAGCACTCGCTGTGTTGGAATCTTAAAGGAAGGCATACCATCTAATATATTCCTTGATACCTAGCTTCTCTTTAATAAAGTCAACAACTTGTATAGGGGTGTAAATTGAGGTTAAGTTGGTAACAACTCCATAATGGCATTTATCTTCTGTAATGTTTGACTTTTTCTCTGTTGATTCTAAATGTTGAGGGAATTCGGTTTGGGTACCTGAGGTGACATAAAATGTATTTTTTTCAATACTTCTTTTTTCATTTGTATATTAGATAATTTGTTGGAAATATTACCCATTTTGTTAGATATTTCACAGATGTTTGAAGACAGCCTTTCTATCCCCATCTTAATCTCAGTTGAATTTGAGTCTTGGATTTGAACCTTGATAGTATTAAACCTTAATCAGAACAGCTGAAAAAAATCTAACGATATATTAAAAATATCTTGTTCCATCTGCCTTATAGATTTTAAACATTGTCATGATTTAGCAAGTTATTTATTTTATGGATCTCTATTATAATATAACATATAACAGAACCTGAATCGATTTTTCTGATTTTATTACGGTTTTTACCTACACTAACAGTTTCAATAATATTTTTTTCATAATTAGATAACGAAAGTAGTTTCTCTCCAAGTGTCATTGGATATTTAAATTGATATGTTGAACACATATAAAAAAGGATCATTATCATTAGAACTAAATTTATTAGATGAATTAAATTTCTGACCTTTTTGAATATTTGTTTTAGCTGAAGTCGGTGGCAAGTTTTTGGTATAAATACTGTTTTTAATACCATTTGAGTAGTCAACCTGATCATTAATATGCAAAGCATTTGAAGGTATAATTATGTCATTCCCTTATGTAAATTCAATGTCCTCTACACTAGGATCCGGTGGATCCTTCCCAGAAATGCCATTTTTGCCCGCGGACGTGACGGGGCACGTTTTAATAAAAAACGTATAAAAAATTTCTACTTGTAGTGTGTACAGTTGACAGAATAACCAAACTTAAAATATAAAGCAAAACAATCAAAATCGACTAAACACTCTGGATTATATCTTGAAACACATCTTTACACTTCAGAACAGATCGAAATCGAATAAAACAGACTTTAGAACTGCTTAAATATACAAATTTTCCCGAGGAACTCTTAAACGCATCCAAACACTTTGACAGTTGTATACAAGATATTTTACAATAGCTAATTAGAGACATATTACCGCTGAAGTAATAGAAAGTAGTAAGCTCGTGATTCAAGACAGAAATATAATTTAACAGTAATGACATTTGATACAGTAGGTAATTTTAATCAGATCTACTATGATTGTGCATTGCAAATTTTTCTTATATTATTTTCTCTGTTCATATTTTAAACTAATATTATAAATAATTGGATTGTGATAATAAATATTTTGTATACACCACAATAAACTGTAACAAAAATTACATTTTTGTTTTATTTTGACGTTTCGATTTTCATTTCAGAAATCATTTTCAAGAAAATTCTGCAATAAATTTGTTTTGAAAACTGTTTCCGGATTGGGGATCGAAACATGAAAACAAACAAAAATATATTTTTTATTAAAATTCGGTGTGGTTTACACTTATGTATAAAATATTTAGAAATTATACATGCCACTAGAAAACAGTTTTAAAATCTGATTTATTTTAGGATGAGACATCAACTAAGCTTGGTGTTATTTGTGGGCTGCGTCCTCAATATTATAGAAGTCAGATCAGAAAGTACCACCGAACCATTAGCAACAACTCCCCTTGGGCAGGTTAAAGGATCAGTAATAACTTCTAGATTAGGAAAAGAAATATATTCATTTAGGGGAATACGCTACGCTAAACCACCCATTAATGACTTAAGATTTAAGGTACTTTATTGTTTACATTAACTATATATTTGGTTGAGATAAAAAAAATTAAATTAAATCAATATATTAACTAAATAATAATTAATCTTAAACTGACAAAAAAATCAAAAATCTTTTTTAACATCGAATGGTTAGATAGATAGAACTTAAAATCATCAGAATTATTTAAGGATTAAGCTGAATAATTTTAAGCTACACGAATATTTTTTTTGTTTTTTGTATTTTATTGCTACAACGAATAACAATACTTACAACTTCTTTTATCCCTTATATAATATGCTTGGAATATGGTTTCGTGGAGTAAGTATACCAATCCTGTAGGATCTTAATGATAAAATTCTTTGGTTTTTTGAGGATACTTTGGACCCACTTTGTTAATTTTTACCAACAAGGCTAAAATCTACTAAAATTCAATTGACCAATATCTTGTTAGTGGTAGGTATATCATTGGTAGTAAAAACTTTCAATAGTCGGATTGATAAATTTCTCATTTATTATCATGTATATTTTTAAGATTATAATTATACATACATACAAATCAATTCTAAACTTTTTAAGATTGGATAAATTGGAAACATCCGCGGTTCAATTGTAATCTCTTAAAAATATTTTGAGAATTTTTTTACAGAATTTCTTAAAAACTGTACTTCATGTATCGTAAAGTAAACTACAGGGGATCTATATGATAGAAATATTAAAAAATTATATATAAAGAAAAGATAAAATAAATTTAGAATGATGGTAGCAGCGTCAATTTATTAAGCTAACAACTTAGGGATCGTGAATTAGAATCGGGCCAGGGTAGAAATTTTGATGAACACGTTTCACGTTTATCCAATTAGTACACATCAAGCTATCATGGTCGTTCTAATATAATAAGTGACTGTGTGTAGCCACGATGAAACCGACTGTACTTAGTACCAACGTATTTTTTTAATAAACATACACTACACAATGTAATTTAATTTGACCTTCCACTACACGCGCGCGGACTTGTAATATCAACCCTTAAATATCAGAATTACAGATAAAATAATATTATAATTCATACTCGTGTAACATTTTGTTTATGTAAACATTTGGTAATTTAAATCAAGGACATTCATATATAACATACTCTAATTAAAACAGCCAGTCAGCACTCTAGTAAAATTGCACGACTTACTTGTGGTGTAGGTCAGGGAATACACTTGACACGAATAGTAACAAGAGCGCTGAGCCAGCAAGGCCGAGGCTATTAAAAGCAACACCAATCATTCTCGGGATCTTAATTAATGTACCGTCAAAATGGCAAGTTAATGCCGCATACAGTCAGCGTCAATTAAGTACTGAAATATTTAGATTAAGTAACAATAAAGAGTGTACAGTAGTGTTAAATAAATGGTTAACTAAGTACAACAACATATTATTTACTACCCCACGACATTATTTATTACATGGCGATCCTGAAGTGGTAGAAACCAGGAATCTTCATCCAGAGATGTTGAGAAGAAAATCCCACTGGAAGTTTAGATGGAAAATAGCATACTAGATGTTATATGGAACCAATGCATTTCGAAATTCAATTCGAAAGAGATAAGGAAATTCCGGACCAGACCAGCCGAGAGCCCCGCGGCAGCATTCCAGCTAAGGACATTGGACAGTAAATGGGAAAATGGACTATGGAAAATGGAGAATGGACAAAGGTGAAGTGATAAGGACCATATGTTTAATGTATTATGTAAGTAAATTTATTTTTTATCCCTTATATATATATATAAATACAGTCTAACAAATTGAAATTATTAATTATTACTTGAGAAAAATTATTACAAATGTAAAGAATTTAACTAGTTCAGAATGTTGAATATACAATTTTTATTGCTTTGAAAGTAGAGTATATAATTTATTTTTAAGTTTTCACTAAATAACTTTATATAGTAAATTCTATTGTTTGAATGAAACAAATGTGTCATACATTTTATTTACTAAAGGTATATTTTTAAAAATATTTATATTGTTGACCATGAAAATACACCGACAGATCGGGAATATTAAATTACGACGTTATTTACCATGAATGGCATGAATTTGCTTAGATGACAAATTCTTCAAATAATATAGACGAAGAAATTTGATATGACTTTTTATTTTACTATTTAAATTAGGATATTTAGAATTATTGTTACATTTATAAGGAAGGAAAATAATTTAGAAGAACTTTTAAAGACAATTGACCATGGCGTCAGAAAAATTTTCATTGCGTTGGAACAATTTCCACGAAAATATAAGTTCAGGAATAAATTCATTATGGAAGAGTCAAGATTTTGTAGACGTAACGCTTTCAGCACAAGGAAAATGCATAAAAGCGCATAAAATGGTTCTTTCGGTTTGTAGCCCATATTTTAAGGAAATTTTTAAGTCAAATCCCTGTCAACATCCTATAGTAATTTTGACAAACGTGACTTACGAAGCACTAACAGACTTACTACAATTTATATACCATGGAGAAGTACAAATTAGACAAGAAGATTTAAATACCTTCATTGAAACAGCCGAATCATTGCAAATACAAGGACTCACTGGAGATAGAAAAGTCGTAAACGATAATAACATTATGGAAATTTCGGATAAAGAATATACACAAAATGTAGAAGATTTCAAGCCAGTTTCTTTACCTATGACAAAGAAACAACATATAAAGAAGGAAGAACATAGCGACATAGAGCAAGAAATAAGTATGGCTCTTACAATCAACGAATTTTTAAATATCGCAAGCAAGGTGTTACCCAGCGCGTTTGATGGAAAAGCAGGTAAACTGCAGTCATTTTTAGATGCACTAGAACTACTTGAGAAAATAGCGATAGGACACGAGGAAACAGCAATAACATTAATAAAGACAAGATTAACTAATAAGGCCAGAAACGTTATAACTACAGAAGATACAATCGCAAGAATAGCAGAGGCACTGAAGAGAGAACTGAGAGGCGACAGTCCGAAGACGGTAATAGCTAAATTGGCGAAGAAAAGACAAGGACATAAAGATGCAGAGGTCTATGCATCTGAAGTTGAAGAATTAGCGGAACAGCTAAAAGTTGCATACGTAGAGGAAGGAATGCCATTGGAACTAGCGAAAAAATACACAACAGAGGCAGTAGTAGCTACAATGAAACGTAATGCCAGCACAGACAAAGTCAAGATAATATTAGAGGCAGGCAACTTTACAACCCCACAAGAGGTAATGTACAAATTTTTATCGATCGACGAGACAGAAGATAGCACACAAGGAAGAGTGTTAAATTACAGGAAGAAATACGATTTTGATATGAGGAAAGAAAGTAAGAATGCAATATATGGATATTATAAAAATAAATTCGAAGAAAGAAAAGAATATAGAAACAAAAATTATAGAAATATAAGTGAATATGAAAGACATGATACGAGGATATATCGTAATAGAAACAGAGGAGATTGGCAATCACAACGAAGAAGAAATAATAATCAATGGACACAGGTGAGATGCCACAGAAATAGAGGCACAGCGAGAGCATATTACGCACCGCATGCGAATACGAATACAGTGACAGAAGAAGATTTTTTTAACAGAAATGTAGACAAACTGGATGTGGTTCGACCTTAATGGTTGGAATCTACGTCGAGCAGGAGGCTGCTAAGAGGATAAGCTAGGGTGGTACTTGAATCCCAACCCGCTAAGAGTCCTGCGGCTCCAGCACAACAGTACAGTAACTACATAATGGATTAAAATGGAAAAACAAATTTGAAATTATGATTTTTTTTAATGAAGTAAATGGAAAATTATTGAAAAAGAAGTTTGCCACAATAAAGAACTTAGAGGAAATTATATTACAACATAAAACCCACAAGCAAACAGTAAGAAAGGTACTAAATAATATGGAGGCGCATATACTACCAATTTTGTCTTTTGGAGCAAACCGAGTCTCACCAAGACTGAGTATTCGGGTCAAAAACAAAATCAAATGGTTAGGAAAATGAGCAATAAGATATAGAGATATAATAGGAAAAAGGAAATAAGATATTGAAAAATGTAGAAATATACATATGCGAAGTACCAAAATCGTAGAGGATGAATATAGTATGAATGAATATAAATAATGAATATAATATATACAATTAGTGTATTTATATGCAAGAGAAGAAACGATATTAAATAAAATAAGTACGCACACATGCGGAAAAATGAAGAACAGATTATTTTGAAAAATATATGTCTATATTAGTACATATTAGGCGAAATTAATTTCGAGATCGAACCGATACAAAATACAAAATACAGAAGAAACAGTTATAGTAATATAGAAACCAGAAGTTGCGAAGGAATTTACAGAAGAATTAATAGATAAACCGATTAAGATTGTGTTACCTATAGGATCATAAATGTAAATAATCGAGAAATATAAATTAGAAGTTTATTCCGAAGATACATAACCAGGAAAATTTTATATTTTTTATATGGAAGAAACAAAACAAAAGAGAAAAAAGTCGAACAACTATTAAGCACAGTAAAAACCATCAATATTTGAAGAAAAAAGGCCCATAGAAAATTGCAAAATATGCAGATATTTTTATTTTTTCGGAAAAAGACCCATATATACAAAGAAAATGTTACTTTGCAAAAAGATACGAAATCAAAGAAAATCCGTACTCATAATATTTTATTATGATAACAAAACGCAGTATTCCTAGTATAAACATTACATAACGACATTAGGTTAATTTTATAGCCGACTTACTATTAGATATTTGATATAGTTGCATGGTAAGCAAGGTCATCAATTATGAAATGAGTACAATATAACTGAACAGGTTGATTATTTATTAATATGACCCGTATATTTAAAATTTTATTTACGATGCAAGAAGAACTAACAAGTATGGATTTTATTTTTCGACATAGACGGAAAATCGATGAACAGAAATATGTTCATATTTTTGCTAGAAGAGGAACTCTTAGGACATAATATTTCGAATAAACAGACACC